CCCCTCAAATTAAAAGAGGAAGAGGAGGAACCCTGGACCAGTCTGGAGGGAGACAAAGTTGTGAAAGAGGAAATTGATGTCACCAGCTTTACAGTCACTGCAGTTCCTTTGAAAAGTGAAGATGATGAAGAGAAGCCTCTGTTCTCAGAGCTACATCAGCACCAGGTGGAGGACAGAGATCTTCCAACCTGCAGCTCAGCTGGTCAGATGGAAACAGCAACTGATGAAGAGGATTGTGGAGGACCTGAAACTACCAGTAACCCAGATGGAAATACTTACAAAAACAGTTCCAGCTCTTCAGAGACTGAACTCAGTGAGGATTATAACGACGACGAGGATGTGAACAATCCTGAMTYTCAGCTGAAGAATTTGTCAGTTTCTGGGCAAAAAACTAAAGAAAGGAACAAAGAATGGAAGAAGAGAAGAGCTCCTGAGTCAGGAGTGAACGCTGTCAAAAAATCTGAGAATGGTAAGCAGTATATCAGCAACATGTCTCTTAAGAGTCACATGTCCAGTGATTTAGGAGACCAGACAGAAACAAAATTATTCAAGTGTAATGATTGTGGTAAGAAATTTACAAGAAAATGTGTTTTAAAAGCTCACATGAGAGTCCACACAGGAGACAATCCATTTCCTTGTGATCTTTGTGGACAAAGGTTTAGCCAAAAGTCATATTTAAACAGACACTTGAGAGTCCACGCAGGAGAAAAACCATTTTCTTGTGATGTTTGTGGACAAAGTTTTAGCCAAAAGTCAAATTTAAACGCACACATGAAAGTCCACACAGGAGAGAAACCATTTCCTTGTGATCTTTGTGGAAAAGGTTTTAGCCAAAAGTCAAGTTTAAACAAACACAGGAGGTTCCACACAGGAGACAAACCATTTCCTTGTGGTCGTTGTGAACAAAGATTTAGCCAAAAGTCAGGTTTGAACTCACACAGGAGAGTCCACACAGGAGAAAAACCCTTTCCTTGTGATCTTTGTGGAAAAGGATTTAGCCAAAAGTCACATTTAAACACACACAGGAGAGTCCACACAGGAGACAAACCATTTCCTTGTGATATTTGTGGACAAAGATTTAGGCTTAAGTATAATTTAAACTTACACATGAGAGTTCACACAGGAGACAAACCATTTCCTTGTGATGTTTGTGGACAAAGATTTAATCAAAAGTCAAATTTAAACTCACACATCAGAGTCCACACAGGAGACAAACCATTTCCTTGTGATGTTTGTGGACAAAGATTTAGTCAACAGTCAAATTTAAACTCACACATGAGAGTCCACACAGGAGACAAACCATTTCCTTGTGATCTTTGTGGACAAAGATTTAGTGAAAAGTCTAATTTAAACTCACACATGAGAGTCCACACTGGAGACAAACCATTTCCTTGTGATGTTTGTGGTCAAAGATTTAGCCAAAAGTCATCTTTAAACAGACACATGAGAGTCCACACAGGAGACAAACCATTTCCTTGTGATGTTTCTGAATGAAGATTTAGCTGTAACACAATTTTAGATACTCACATGAGAATCTACACCACAGAGAAAACGGTTCCTCTTTTAATATTAAAACGGCTCTAATGGTGCATTCACACCAAACGCATTTTCAGCATCAGGAGCATCAGGTTTACATGCAAAGTCWATGGTGGACGCGCTTCAAGCAGCGTTGGGACGTTCTGCTGCGCGTCAAGCGCGATTAGAGTAGCGCGATCTGAGCGTTTGATGCACTTGATGCGCAAATCGCTTAAGATGGAAAATCTGAACTTCTGCAGCTCGACGCGCCGCATCAACCAATCAGAGAGACTCCACTGTGTGACGTAGTGACAGATTTCCCGACGAGACAGTTTACTGAATGATGTCCACTAACCTAAAACAGATAGAGAGGAGCTCTTTAGCTGAAATCGAGTGCCGGTAGTCGGTGTMCAGACAGGGATATCCGCACCAATGCGTGGCAGCGGCTCATCAGACTGGACTCGGGACAAAAATAGTTCTGAAAACGAGCTGCCAGCCTCTCTCGCAACTCCTGGGTGATGAAACTCACTAAACTCAGAATGTCTCTGAATTATTTATCTGATGAGCGTGACATGCTCTTGCTCTCTGTAAATAAAGCAAAGTCACTTCCTATATTTCATCCGACATTAAACAGAGCCCGGCAGAGGAGAGACYGGCAGAGGAGGGAGGGGGCGGGGAGGCTCTTGACGTGCGAGCACTTCAAGAGCTGACCTGCGTCTGACCTCAAAGTGCACAAGCGTCCAACTTGAAGCGTTGGATGCGATTTTGATGCTGAAATTGCGTTAGGTGTGAACGCAGCATTAGAGACACACATCAGGTCCCACTAAACTGAATGTTCACAAATTCAATGTTTTTTTTTATTTTTAATTTTAATTTATTTATTTGGYCATTTATCACTGGAACCATCCACAACTCAAGTATGTGTATGTTGTGTCTTCTGAATTTTGTAAATGCCTTATGAAATGTATGTGTATGTGTTCTTTTTTTTTATTTACACTTTATGGGTAACAGTTAAAACAACCGGTGCTTTTAATTCACTGTGTGTGTTTGTACATATTCCTGATGTCTATCCTTTCATCTTTCACATTATAATTCATGTATAATTCAGTTGTTAGACAGACAAATCAGTTTCAGTTACAGATATTTTTTGTTGTTTAGCCAGTACTTCCCGTCTTTATCTGAATGAAAACAAATTGAAAAAAAAAACTGTTATTTTGCAACCAGATAATAAATATTGGAAAGATTTAAAATAAACATTTTACTCAAATGTTTGATTTTTTTCCCCCCAACACATCTCATGTTGCATCTATATCTAAGCATTACATCTAAATATTAAATCTATTTCTGCCTCATATATCT